AGCATGACGCATGTGTGAGTGTAGCAGTATCATCAGAGATACAGTGGCTGCACAGGCGCGTAAAGGAGGCATTAAACATCCCGTCCTGGGAAAATGTTAATCGTGACAAAGGATACAAACCCTGTGAAGATCGGCAGCATCTAGTCGCAAATAAACTACTTATCCAGTAACACGGAGCGAAAGCTTGCCGTCTGGCTCCGAATCCATCAACAGCTATTGGCGACAGACGAAACTCACCAAACCCTTCCACCATTTACGATGAAGCAGACCCGTGGGACACAGATCGAAACGTTGGCAGTGGTTAGTCACCGTACTGATCACCCTGTTTTTGCGCTGTGTATCACTAAACCGTGTTTCATTGCCTTTTTCGGCATGACCAACGCACGAACAAAATATTCTATCATTTAACACTGTAATCATATACTGTGAATAATATGCGCATTAATATGCGATTTCTTCATATGCGCATAATTTCTCGACTTTTACCCCATATTATACGATTTCCTTGGTTCTAAATGCTCAGGAAGCTGTTTAACGAGGTCAACGCTATATTAACTTTGAGCTTCAGGGATGTATCTCGTCGTGTCTACATTACTCAGAGGAATGCTTTGCTCCTCGCCATTCTTTGAACAGCTATTAGACTCATGAGCGTAAAGCATGAAAATAATTAATAAGTACGTTAAAAGCAAATTAACTCGTCTGAAACCGTATATCACGACGTATTACAATATCCGTTTGCTTCAGGAGGAGCCAGTTCAGCGGCAGCTGCTACGCCAACCATAGCAAGTGCTTTGATACCATGCGTCCTGACTTGCTGAAATGATCTTTCTGAGATGTAGCAACAGAGTGATTTTCAATACAAGGTGAACTTCGGTTCCAAGAATTGCGCTTAACGTGATCCGGCTTATGATCCACAGGATTAGTGATCACTTGCTTTAATCAAGACAATTTTAAGTTCAAATGCTAACTACCAGTGGTCTGAGAAAATTGTCAGATGGACTGAGAAATCGATGCCAGGCTTGGTTTGATAAAACAGTCCAAAAAGAAAATGGAAATATATCCTGTTTTCTCTCTTGAAAACCACGCATTGGCAACAGACGCGCAGAAGACAATAAAACGCGGAAACAAGTCTTTGAGGCAGATGATTGCGGCGAGAAAAATAACCTTTTCACGAACGTTGCCTAATATCAATCTGAAGTAGTATCTTTAATGGATAGACAATAAATCTGGGTTTATCCCCTGCTATACTCAGATGACGATTTCAAAAGAACCTTATTATATTGGACTTGCAAGGAAAAAGAAAGTCTGGATCAGTTGGAATGTCGGTCTCCCTTACACTTTCAATAGTGTACCACTTCTGGTATCCTTCTTTTCATGAAGCTAATGATGCTGCACTGATCTGACATCGGCATGAGTGTCTAATTTTGAAAGCAATATCTACAGGTACATAACACGTATCTGTAATCGGGAAGACGAATTGTGAATGACCTGACCAGGCGCTTACACACGACCTTTCGACTATGAATTCGATGTTCTACCAACCGCACAACTCCTGTTTGACTTTAACTAGACTGTTACAACTAGATGAAAGGCAACTAATGTACTTGTTATCTTAAACGTTGGCAAGTGAATAATTTTTCGACTTTGAATTTCGTGCATGTTCATATTCTCTGAACTGAAATATTGCTTTTAATGCATTGGCACTGAGTCAGCATAAATTTCTGAACATACAGCTTTATTATAAGGTTATTAAATTACGTCAGTCTCGGAACAGCGAACTTAAAGACTGTGAGTCTACAACGTTAAAAGGCGAAGCGCCATGGAGTGGTTACTAGGCAAATGCCAACCTGAATCAGGCAGATAGTTGTGCAGCCAACCTTCTGAAATAATTTTCGATGATAATTCAAGCTGAACAATCTGAATTCTGTAACTAATAGGGTGCGGAAATCATGGTGAGCACAATTTCGCGAGGCAAAAGCATCCAAAACGTCGCATAGTACTTATTAGCTAGAAATTTGCGACTTGGAACGCGATATCGACAAGAATGGCCGGCACCATAACAGTGGCATAACCTGATAGCACTGGTAATAGTAGAAGAACGGAAATTCAGACAGAAGTGCAATAAGCAACTACTTCAATCCAAACGCTGTGAAAACTTATGGTTGTTATGTCATGCTATCGCCCAGTGAAAGTTACACTAAGCTAATTCTATTCTAATGACTCCAAGAATAAACCGTCAATGTTGCAGCAGCATACTGCTACTGTTACAGGTACAGTTGATATGAGGATTCGCTCTCATCCTTGAACCTGCAAACAGTTTCAGTACTGCACTCTCCCTAATACGCTGGCCATCAATATCTTCAAAGTGGATTGCGCCTCTACTGCAACGTGTATTTCTCACGATATTCCTTAAGGGAATAGTGATTAGTCAACTATCAACTGAGTTCGCCATTAGTGTTGCATTTCTTCAAAATGATATGAAACTTTGAATATTATCAGCTTCTTATTAAATCCAACATTTTAAGGGCCAGGTCCATGAGATAAGGCTTCAGATACGGCTGCAATTCGGTGAGAGCCAGCTCGGCACCTTTACAGTATTCCTCTTTCATCGACTGCACGAAGCTTTGTAGATGCAGACGACAGTCCCGTTTTACATGGCTTGGAAAGTCCGGTTCTTGAAATGATAGGGTTGTATAGTTTTTCAGTAACGACGACTGATAGTCATTGAGCTTATGTGATGCCAGATCATGTGTCAGCAACAAAATCACTGTCGCCGCTTCGATATCCTGTAACCTGCTCTGCCACAACGAGGCGCCGCTGGTGTCCGCCCAAGACTCGATCGAAGTGCGCGCGTTGTCCAACGTCTGCAGCGCATCCGAATAAAAACCCAGATTCACCTCACACATGCACTTTCGCTGCAACGATTGATAATAACCGCACGGATTGGCGTCTGAGAAATAGTTGGCGGCTTGTCGAAAAAATTCGATGCTCTCGTAATCCTTGTCCAAGTCCATCAGACGGCAACCGACTTCCATGCACAACGCTGCGGCTAACGTCGGTTGATTCTGCTCGATATGAGACCTGCAAAAGCGGTTTACTGAAAATTGAAGTATCAACGTTTTAGCTTGCAAATGCAGTCTCTCAAAAGATGCGCTCCCAATGAGAGGAAAAAGATTCGCCATAGCCTTTGCCCTCCAAACACGACTGAGTGTACGATCGAGAAACAGCACATGCTGCAGCTACCTATCGGTATAAACTACTGCTATATAGCCGCTTAGGTCTCGAATTAGACCCGGCGGAAATGTCTTCAATTTTTCCCTTAACTGAATGAAGCAACTTCTGAACTCGCATCTGCTAAAGTTGACCATTTCACTACTGCGTTAAAATCTCACTGCACTCACAACGATTTCATATTCACTTCAAATGCAGAAACTCTGGCTGCCAAGAGCAAGCTCGCAAATGCTACCTGTAGATTATGCTAAACTGCGCTTGACAAATTCCACAAGGGAACTGGTATCACTCTGCAGCTGAACGTGGGTTTTGCAAAACAGAAAACCGACTAACCTAATTACTGGTGCCGCTTACAAAACAGGTAACTTCTATGTACTGGTGCATCGGTGCGCATAGAAAGTGACGCAATTAAGTAACTAGTGACAATCAGTAGAACGACTAGTTTGCTGGCAAGTTAAGTCAATGAAAATTCAAAAACGTTGTTTGTCCCTGTATGTTGTGTGCTCACACCGCGAGATCATAAGTAAAAGTTGTGTAACGGAACCTCACCACTAAATGAAATTAACAGTTTACTGGGAAATTACAACTTACCAAAATAGACTATTTCGATCTCTAGCTCAAGGGTGTTTTTCAGGTAAATCTGCTGATATGCTGGTTAGTAGATCAGTTCAAAAAAGCAGACCAACTGAAGAAAATCTGTGACGTACAGTTCAAAGCGATGGGCACCACTGTAGCATGGGACGCTACAATAAACCACCGTTTTAGTGACCGAAAAATACGTGCAAGAGACTTCGTCATAAACGTACAAGCAGAAACGCATAAAAAGCTAGCACTAGACTGTTATAACTTATTTTAATTTTACGTCGAGGAAAACGGCAACATTCAAGGCGTAAAATCGCACGCTAGGGCGAATTGCCATGGCGGAAAATATCTGCTTTAAACCTATCATATAACCTGAAATGGTATAATAATGAGGTAAAGGTATCAAAGAACTGACAATCCCCTCTACATTTATGGTAAATCTGTCTAAACGAGCATAAATATAAATATGGACCACCGTCCAAATCAATATGAAAATAAAGTACTGTGAAGCGTTTACGTCATGTTTTAAGCTCCAACAATAGAGAACGACGCTTTACTGCATAGGTAGAATGAAGATCAAGATAATGTTTTACATATGACATCGCGAAAAGATCAGAATGAAATATCTATAGCAGATCAGCGACCTATGCTGAAGACTCCTTCTACCATGGCATGTGAACTTTAATCAACATTAAAGCCAAAACCGATTAAATACCTCGTTCAATGATGTGACTATTTTAATACTTGTACGGGGTACCTATGATCATCGTTTCCATTTGGAAAGAGTTGTGTCAAGAAATTACGACTGTTAATAACTCAAACAGCAATTTTTTAATAGCCGTGTAGTCTCTCAGGCGAATACTTTCGCTTTTGCCATTCAACGTAGTTTTAGGCTTTCTCTGTCAAAACAGTAACGGTTGTGGCAAAATAAAAGTTGTTTCTATGTGAAAGGCAGGCGCAATTCAGACATCTGACCTAATATCCTGCTGGTATGATGTACGCAGAAAATATTTCCCTAATAAAAAGTAATATGGGAAATTTTCGTCATTAGACAACTTCTATATGCAATACTGCTGCATAACCGGCCTGTTCGTTAACGCCAAAAAATCAAAAGTTGTAAGAAACCCACATGGCATAACTGATCTGCAGGCGCGACAGGACGATGAACGAAAAGTATGCTGATTAGCTTAAGCACCTCGGTTCCATCATCCGTAGCCACAGTACAAGCCAATAATTTTTGAACAAAGTAATTATTCTTGCTTCATGGTTTCGGCAGCCTGTCCAAAACTGGAGCTGAGAAAAGCAGTTCACCTTTTCCTAGCCTTGATTACGTCAATATTGCCATACAGCATTTAGAAGGTCATTCTAACGAAAGACCACGAAGGACAGATGAACAACATATATCAGTGCATATGTTCAATCCACAATTAAACTTAAATGTAGGACCGGATAAAGAATGAATACATTCTCTATAGGATGCGTATGCTCAGTACAAGTAGAGAATGAAATAACAGCCTGATTCCGTTAAACAAACTACCTGGGCAAAAATCCTTTACTCTATCCCACAACCCTCTAACGTTGGTACCAAAACACTGATTACAATGTCAGCATAAAACATGGATGCACAAGAGAGAATCTGTGTTCAGAAAGCAACTACTCCTTACGCGGTGTAGTAACCCGTGCTTTATAGCAAAAATGATGAAAAACTGCAAATTAGTAAACATCTGCTCTACAGATGTTCTGCTTATGCAACGGCTCAAAGTGATTATCACAACAACCATACATAACATAAGAGATTGGATATATCAAACAATATCTGATTAGAAACAATTTGTTAGTTTTGGAGGACTTATACTAAGAAAGACGGTCAAAAGTAAAAGAAACATGACGGCAAACCTTATTGCACAAGAGTAACAATGAAGCGCTGAACTAAGGTTCAGCTCCATGGTTGGCAGCTTCAGGTCGAAAGCGTACTCTTTCTCAGCCTTCACAAACAGATCGGCAGCTTTACGATAATTCTGGTTCTCCCCGGCTGGGTTGCCAATCTGCTGCTCACAACGGGCCATCGTCATGTGACACAGCGCAGCATACTGGGGACATTCTTCGTCCTGCAGACGTAGAGATAATGCAGAAAATTCCTTTACCGCTTCTAAAAGATTCGGCTTTCGTAGCAAGCGCTTCTTCAGCTTCATATTAATAGCTTTGTACTCTTGCCATGGATCAACGTAACTCGGATTCTCTTCCATCTATCATCGAACTCTACAACAGTTTGACATACTCAGAAGAAGTAGAAAACAACAAAAAGTCCAACAAAAAACTTTACAATGGCACATTTAATCTCCGCGAAAGATGTAAATTTTTGATCTGACTGACACCAAGATTGGCCGAAGACTGTAAATAGACTCTGAAAATACATTGTTAACCACCTGCTGCCCCATTCTACATGGACCTGTGCTTCAAAACATACTAATCTGTTTCATGCCACTGAATGTATGCCTTATGCGATGGTTATACCTGCCAGCATGTGACAAGTCACAGCATCCAGTCATTTGCATCATTTCCACACCTTGCGGCCCTTACGTTGAACAGATGAAAAATGAGGCCTATCACCCCGGGCCCAGCTAATGAATTTCAGCCAAGAAGAACGATTTATATAAAAAATATATATATACCGAAATTGCAGGGACCAATTATATAAAAACGATATCAAATACGTGTAGAAAAAAGGAAGAAAATACTCATGAATTTTAGAGTAGAAAAAAAATACTCGAATCTCCTCTAACTGAACTATTTGAAGCTTTATGCTAAGAATTCGTGTTGTAGGTCATTCAGGAGTTGATAGCTGCCTTCAGCATATCGACTGATATCCAATTAAGACCAAGGATGTGCGTCGCAATTAATGTAAAACGTATACCTCAACGATAGGATAGAGATTCAAGATCTGAAGGCTGAACAACAACATAAATCTTCAAGGAACGATAAGGCTATTGCAGCGGCTGCAATGAGCGATTAATCAGTCATATTTAATTACTTTATGCAAGAGAATTCGCAGCAACTTGAAAATATGGTAAATTTTTAAAATATACACATATTCACTTTCAGACATATTTCACATCAAAAAACATTCATTCAAGGACGACACTGCAGGAGTGGTTCAGAATGACGGGCTAACTGAAGCAGTAATCAAGACCGATCCAAGTCTTCACTCCACTTTCTCAAAATCGAGCTTAGACCTTGTACTAATTGGATAATCAACCATCATGCTAATTGAATAATTTGTTATGCATTGGATAATTATCAATCATGCGAGTCAAGGCAACATGCAGCAACAGGAGGCGCTGGCATCGGATAGCATAGCCGTACACCTCATTTATTCTGTCACGACCAGAGCGAAATTCTCTCTATACTATTAGCAAGTTACGGGACTTATTACCCGTTTCTGAGCTATCGAAGTAAGGAGGAGTTAATTCATTTCTCAAAAGAATTGGCGGCTAAGACAAAGGTTGCTCTTTCAACGGATTCGAACCCGAAACATACCGAGTTCAAAGACAACCTCTTAGATACTATGTCATCACGCACCTCAGAAAAAGTGAGAAGTATAGCATCTGCCGTGAAAAAAGAAAAAATTGCGTTCGGAAAGTTGACAACGACGCCAACGTTTTCGCGCAGCCATTACACTTGAATAAGAACAGTACGCAGGGAGAACCATTGCTGGTCTCCGTGATCAACGCAAGATCTCCAATCTTACTGTCCATGCTGACAAAAGATTCGGTCAAAGTCAGCTGGTAATTCAGTTCGATTCGATGACCGCTCATCTTTCCAGTTCGAAGAGTCAGACGCATTAAACAGCATCTCGATCCTGCGCCTGCACTTGAGTTTCGGCAGAAGACAGTCGGAGTCTCGAGCAGAGTCTGTCGAGACATTTTACTCAACTCACTCTTGTCCGTCCCCGGGTTCTTCAGTCGGTCAGTGGAGCAAGAAGTGACTGTTTCGCATTCCTTTTTGGAAGCAGTCGAAGGACGTGCCCAAACCATCGCAGCTGTACACCAAGGCTTTCGCTGATTTCTGCACACCGTAGAACCAGGAGCACGGTGATTCACCCCAGAATGGGCATTTCACTAGCTTGTGCCAGAGATCAAAGTTTTTCACTCATGGTCTATGACTGATGACCGTAGGTAAGCACGGGGATGGAGATCGACTTGAATACCAAGGGATGAGTCTTCTGACTCAGCTCTGCTTTAGTTACAACGGTTTGGACTAGAACAGGCAGAACGCCACTGGCTACTCCGATCTACCGGTCGATCTCCTCTCCAAATCCTCCATAACCAGTAAACATGACACTAAATGACTTGGATTTCTGCACCTGCCTCACTACATCTCCGTTTATCTGAAGAGAGCAACGTGGAAGAGAACGAAAAAGCACCGCGCTTTCCGTTTTAGATGCGTTCACACGCATGCCGGTCACGTCGCACTCGATTGAGAACCTTTTTAAGAAGCACTGGAGATCAGTTTCAGAAGGTGCTAATAAAACAGGGTCGTCTGCAAAGAGTACCCTTCTCGTCTTCACATCTCCTACAGTGATACACTCATCGCCTCGGCTGCTCCTGACCATTCTATACACGTACGACACAAATAGGAAAGGGGACAGGACGCAACCTTGGCGGAGACCAGTGCCAACGTAGAAGAATACCATCTTAACGGCCATTTACTCTGACGTAGCACTTTCTATCAGAATACAGTGACTGGACGGACCTTAGCAGCTAGCCATCTATCACGTATGCTCGAAGGTATGAACACAGACCACTGGGTGGTATCCAGTCATACGCCTTTTCTAGGTCAACAAGACACATGTACACCGGAGAGGCGTACTCACAATTTCTCAACAATCTGGCGCAGAGCAAATTTATGGTCAGAGGTGCTTCGACCGGACAGGAAGCCACACTGTTCTTCTTGTATCTTGGAGTCATTTATTACGCGGCACCTCCTTTCTAGCATCTTTGCGTAGACCTTGGAGACCCAATAATGTAATACCTAACTGGAGCA